GGGGTGAGGAAGGGAAAGAAGGAGAAGAGGGAGGAGAGATGGACGGTGTAAGGAGAAGGGAAGGATGGGGAGAAGGGAGGAAGAAAGAGGAAGAGAAGATGGGGGAAAAACAGAAAGGAAGAGGGTCAAGAAAAGAAGGGAAAAGCAAGGGGGAAGGGGAAAGGAAAAAAACAAAACATAATTTAAAACCAAAAAAAAACAACCACCAACTACCAGCTCCCTACACTTAACCCCACCCCCCCTCTTTCAGGAAAGCTCAGATTCCTTTACTAAAACTAGACAATCCCAGCTGCCTCTGATGTGACACCTGTTCCAAAACCGCAGTGAATTTCCATTCCCACCCCCGCCCCCGCAGTGACCCCGGAGTGGGCCATACCTCTTCCTCCTATTTTTTAGAAAGCACCCTGTTTACCATAAAAAAAGGTCATTTTTCGCTAACAATGAGACTTCCTGTGGAACCACCTCTCTTTGCTCCGACCACTGCAGAGTTTGGTCAAACAGTTTCTCATCTCACACAGAGAGAACGCTGTTGCTCTCCTCGCAGTGGCCGAGGATGGGTGGGGCAGGACATCGCAGGCTGTGTGGGACCTGGGGTCTCCTTTCTCACTGGGCCTGGGGTCGATCTGGACCACCTCCACCCCTGAAGCGCCAGCCCAGGCACTCGTCATTCTCCTTGGAGACTCCGGAGACTTCACTATACGGACTTGAAAGCCCAGGATGGGGCGCCCAGCTGCCCCGTGGAGAGACTTCCTGGACACCCCGCAGGTTTCTGACCAGACCCAGACTTCTAAGGGAGCCTGCCGCCACCCCCTGCGGGAAGCCCAGGCCCGGCCCTCAGCGCGGCAAAGAGGGCCGGATGCTCCTGAGGCTCCAGGGGCACCCGGAGGGTTGGCTGTGCGCACTAAGGCTGCACGTGTGCAGAGGTGCCGGACCGGCTGCTTAAGAACTGCACGGGCGCTTCTTAAAAACAGACCTTTTTCAACTCCAAACCAACCAGAGTTTGAGCCAATAGGTCTGAGGTGGGGGTCTCAGTGCCCCCGGTGATTATAGACACAGCCAAGTTCAGAGAATGGTTGTGAAAGGATTACGACAGCCCGGGCCTGAGGACTTCGCCAAGGACTCAGGAGATCCTGGGAGGCCCGCTACCCTCACTGCCAGTTTGCTCTGATGCCGGAATGAAAAGCTTTTAAAGCCGGCCTGCAGAAAAGTCAGTGCCAAATTCACATTATTTTGATATTTTTTCTGAGAGCTGACTTTGGGGAGGAATCCTGAATAAGAGCAAGTCCAGATGAAGTAATCATTCATTTTCACACCCTATCCCCTCCCCTCACCCCACCCACCACCCACACACCCTTCCGCCCTCTCAAGGAGGGCCTAGTCTTCCTACTTGCTGCCTGGCAATCGCAGACCAAAAATAGGAGCCAGAGCAGGGTTCACTCCATCCCCTCTGTTTGCTTTTATGACCCAATTACGACCCAAGTTCCAAGAGCTCTCAGCCGGCTTCTTGCAGAGCGCCTAGCGCCCGTGGTCGGCAAACTGCGGCTCGCGAGCCACATGCGGCTCTTTGGCCCCTTGAGTGTGGCTCTTCTTAAGCTTTAGGAGTACCCTCATTAAGTTAATAACAATGTACCTACCTATATAGTTTAAGTTTAAAAAATTTGGCTCTCAAAAGAAATTTCCATCGTTGTACTGTTGACATTTGGCTCTGTTGACTAATGGGTTTGCCGACCACTGGCCTAGCCTCCTGAAAGGGAAAGCCCTGAGGGAGGGGCTGGCTCATGTCCATTTGGCCAAGCCGGCCTGACCCAAGAGCCCCAGGAACAGATCTCCTGTTCTCGCTGACACAGTCTACCATGTACCAAGAGCTGAACGTAAAGCTCACAGAATCCCCGCGTCCTCCTAAGGGAGACCGGGGGCCTCCCGGAGTCATCCACCCTCCTTCCCGCCTCAGGCCCTCCTTACCCTGGGACAGTTTAACAAGGCCCATGACAATGATGGCAATGAGCGCTAGGACCTTCGCGTAAGTGAAAGTATCCTGTACGCGTGTGCCCCACTTGACATAGGCACAGTTCACAAATGTCAGCAGACCTAGGAGAAAAACCGTACAGTCAGTCCCTGGCAGGCTCTGGCGGAGAGCACAGAGGCCCAACCTCCTTGGCCGGAGTCTATCACTTCTGCCCTATCTGCCTACAGCAAGGAGGCCAATGGGCTAGTCAGAACCAGAACAGGCAAATGGAGGGACAGCTCCCATGTGCCCCAGCTGGGAGTCCCCATGAACAGCCCCTCACTGTTGACAAGTAAAGATACAAAGGCATGACACATATTCATAAAGTCTTTTTTGTTTTGTTTTTTCAATCCTCACCTGAGGACATTCTTTCCATTGATTTCCAGAGAGAGTGGAAGGGAGGAAGGAGGAATGGGGGTGCGGGGGGAGAGAGAACATCGAAGTGAAAGGTGCATGCCCTTGACGGGGGAATTGAACCTGCAACCCTTCTTCAAGTCCGCAGGCCGACGCTCTAACCACTGAGAAAAACTGGCCAGGGCCGTATTCATAAATTCTGACAACCAGACCATTTTTGGAAATTTCTTCCAGGCCCATTCAGACTCCCAAGGTCCTAAACCACCCAGGGCACAAGGCCTGCCCATGGCCACACAAGAGAGGCCCATTAATAAATGAGGTGAATTTGAATGTAGGTGGCAGGTCACCTAGGAATTAGGCAATGCTTTGTCTATGAGTGTAAAAAAGAAATCTGCCATGTGCCTACGCATTTCACATACATCCTGTCAATTAATTCTCACAACCCCAAAATACAGACATTCCTAATTTCCATTCTATAGATGAGAAAACTGAGGCTGAAAGGGGCCAACTACCATTCCTAAGCTCACATGGACCCCACTGATCTCTCCCAGGCCCCACAGTGCTCGGTGCGGTCCATGGGAAGTGAGCCCACTTGGGCATTCCCTGGGCTCCTGCCAGCACCATTGGCTTTATGTTCCAGTTCCTCACACACCTCGGTGATGCCCGGGCCCAGGTACTGCTCTGATCCATAGGGAAGACACAGGGCAATACACAAGGGGTTCCAGACCACCCCTACCGACTCCCACCTGTTTTGTCTACTTCACCAGACTCTCTCTTTACTGGTGCCAGATACGCATGAAAAAGAAATGTCCTCCTCTCCTCCTGCCGTAGCCACAGCAACTCTCGCTTTCAAGGCCTAGCTCTACCCCACTTCCTCTGTAAAACCTTCCCCAAACAAACCAGCCAGTGGCTCACTGCGCCCGCTCTCTCTCTCCCCCTAGGCCTGCAGCAGTCTCACTTCACAGCACAGCTCAGTGCCTGGGGCTGTGGTCATGTGAACCTCCGTCTCTGGAAGGTCTTTCCCTGGGGCATTTGGATGGTGCTTCTCCAGGAGATCATAATTCTTAGGGGGAAACAAAAGCATTTTGTTTTCTTAAGCTTATTGCCAAACAGAGAGGGGAAAGGGCGAACTCTGTTAGAATCAAGCAGGTGATGACTCTCACTTAAGCTTGAATTCCCCGGAACAAGGCGAGGGTCAGAAACTTGGACATCCTTCCACTCAGTGGAGAGAGAGGCTAGGGCCAGCCCGTGGAAATAAGACATGGTGGCCGAACAGCCTCGAAAACACTCTGAGAGCTTTCACTCCATCCTCTGGCAAATGAGTGACACGGATGCTTGCTAGAACAGTCATAGGAGGTGGGGGTTGGGGGCGAGGGCGAAGGTCAAGGGGAAGGGGAGAAGACCAAAGGAATGCATGCTGCCAGCTTCCCAGGGACCTGCCCTGCTACCCAAAGGGTGTGGGGCTCAGCCTAGACCAGCTGTCAGAAGGATTGCCTAGTTCAGTGGTCGGCAAACTGCGGCCCCTTGGGTGTGGCTCTTCCACAAAATACCACGTGCGGGCACGCATGTACAGTGCGATTGAAACTTGGTGGCCACACTCAAGGGGCCAAAGAGCCACATGTGGCTCGCGAGCCGCAGTTTGCCGACCACTGACCTAGTTGATAGCCACCAGTAATCCACAGGCCCTGGTGCAAGACAGTAAGCATATTGTGAGGTACGGGCCTCCCTGCCCGGCCCCTTCGCGGGAATTGCTCCCCCTCCTCTGTTGTGCCTGACTGACCAAGCCAGACACTGGACCCCAGCTGCGCCTATTGGATCATCTTTCCCAGGAACATGGAGTCGCGATACCCAGAGACAGAATCTAGCTCATAGCAGCAGTCGGGGCCACAGCGAGTCAAAGTCACACACAGACCCTGTAACAAAGGAACCACAAGAAAGCGGAGGAAGGAAGCAGGACCACGGAAAGAAGAAGTGAGAGGGTGTACAGCTTGTGATAAAAGTCTGATGCAGAAGACAGAGAGAGATAAGAGACAGAGACGAGGAGGCAGAGACAGGGAGAAAGGGACAAAAAGAGGGAGAAAGATGGACGTACACACGAAGAGGCTGTGCTCCTGGCTCGTAGCACCCAGATGCGGCTGCGAGATGGGGAGGGACGCTGACATACTCCTGAGCCACACACACAGGCACCCCCTCTCACTTCTGCTCCTTCTCCCACCCTCCGCCCTGCCACACGTCCCCCCACGGCTGAGTCCTCTCTGCACACAGTGGGAATTCACGACCAGTGCTGAAGGGATGAGTGAAGGCCGCGCCTTGTGGGGGTCCCTGCGGAGCGTTTCTGAAAGACCAGCTGAAAGGTACCAAAGAGCCTGGTCACCGTGGCTGCCTCTGGGGAGGGAGACCTTTCCCATCGTATGCCCTGCTATCCTTAGACTTATTTACCGCGCACATAGGCTTCCTTCTCAGTAAAAATAAAAATACTTAGTGGGAGGCACTCACTGTCAGAGGGCCACTTGGCAAACCATCCTTAAACGCTGGCCCCGGGCGCCTGCTTGCTTTACCCAACGCTCAGCCCTGCCAGGGAACAGAGAGCTCTGAAAACAGTCTAGTCCTCTGAATGTTTTCCTGATTCTAATTAAGAAATAAAATGTCACCCCACCGGCGTGGCTCAGTGGTCAACTTATAAACAAGGAGGTCACGGATCCATTCCTGGTCAGGGCACCTGCCGGGGTCGCAGGCTCAATCCCAGCGGGAGGTGTGCAAGAAGCCAATCAATGATTCTCTCTCATCATTGATGTTTCTGTCTCTCTTCTCCCTCTCCCTTCTTCTCTGAAATTAATAAAAATATGGTTTAAAAAATATTTTTTTAAATATATTTTTCGTCCACAAATAATCAAAAAGAAATAAAGTGTCACAAGCTGATCCTCACTCCTCTATGCGTCCCAGAACGTCTCTCTGGGAGCTGGATGCTGAGAAAGGAGTATTCATTCAAATAGCAAATCTAGACCCAATCCCAAAGCAGAAACAAATCCCCAAGTCTCTCTGTGGCAAAGATCACTCACTAGTTATCTTCTAATCCCCGTTTTTCCATTTTATCTTAGTGATAGAAATTTTAGCCAGAGTCATGGTTGCCCCCAAATAAAGTGGACATTGCCCAGCCTCTCTTGCAGGGAGGTATGGCCAGGTAACTAGGCTCCTGCCCCAGGATGTAAGCCAAGTTTCATGGTGTGGACAAAAAGGGGCCACATGCGAGCCTGACGAACTCAGGGAAGGCCTGCGTGGTGGCCTTGCAAACTCAAGAGGCCTAAAGGAACCACAAAGGGTGGTCTGAAACGAAAACCTTTCATTAAAAAGCAGTTCGCTTAGTGGGTAGTCGTGTCCAAGGCCAGTGTTTTCCCTGACAAAGATCAACTTCCATCTTTACTGAGCCTACTGTCCTTTCGCATCTAAGATAACATACCTGCGGAATGTCAGGGTGACGTGTAACTTCCCTTTTCCCAGACCTCTCAAGGCACAACCAATATGTGAGGGCACCAGGGTGGAGACCACAAATTCCCTCACTGTTAGTTGTTGTTCATTGTTATTAATCTTATTACTCTCTCTCCCTCTCCCTTCCTCTTTGAAATCAATAAAAATATTTTTTTTTTTAAAGAAAAAGGATGTGCCCTAACCGGTTTGGCTCAGTGGATAGAGCGTCGGCCTGCGGACTCAAGGGTCCCGGGTTCGATTCCGGTCAAGGGCATGTACCTTGGTTGCGGGCACATCCCCAGTAGGGGGTGTGCAGGAGGCAGCTGATCGATGTTTCTCTCTCATCGATGTTTCTAACTCTCTATCCCTCTCCCTTCCTCTCTGTAAAAAAATCAATAAAATATATTTTTAAAAAAAGAAAAGAAAAAGGATGTTATAAAAAATTTAAAAAATTAAAATATGTGTCTGTCAATTTAATTTTTATCCAATCCCAGAGGTTTCCCTGCTTTGCTTTCTCCCACCTCCCTAATCGATCACCAGTGGATTTCACGTAACCCTCTTACATCCCCTCCTTTGAATGTAATGTATAAAACAAGGTGAAAAACTGCCATTCTCTGGAGCATTAACACAATACGTTGAGATTCTGCTTCCCAGCAATGGTCGACAGTTTGGCTCAAATAAACTCACAAAAATTCTTCACAGGTTTGAATGTTTTCATGCATGAGCAATATGAATAAGACCTCAGGAAATCTCTTTAAAGGGTGAGGCATGCCTTTCTTTGTTCTTGCTCTCAGCCATGATGCAGATACGACAGCTTGAGCTTGAGTAGCCGGCCTGAACCACCAGCTAGAAATCACATGCTGAGGAGGACAGACCCGGGAGGCAGAAGGAAGGAACCTGGCTCCCTGGAGGATTATGAAGTCATCCTGCAAGCCCCACGCCGTCTGCTTTTGACATGCGGAAGAAATAAATTTCAATATGTGTGAGCCGTACTGCTTTTGGTTTTCAGTGTTTGAAACACAAACGAATCCTGAATAATACATGTGCCCTCAGACAGACCTGCGCCTCTCATATTCTCGGATGAATTGGTGTGGTGCACTGGCCTGGCAACCTGAAGTTGTAGTCCCTGTTCTGCGGACAAGTCACAGCTCCCTCTTCCCAGAGGCCACAGGGAGGGG